GGCTAAAGTTGTTGTCCTGACTGTGAGTTGGTAGATGCCTTGAGACTGTGCGGAAGGTGCAATAGGGCATATGGGGGCTTTAAGACTTAGATACCCGAAGGAACTTGTAAGCTGCATAGGTGCGCATCGTCGAAATGAGAAGAATCCTGAACCCTTGCAAGTCGCCCATGCCTGTCATCGTGTTTTTTCACGTTGCGAGGGGGAAGACCTACCACCCGCCCCTCTCCAGTACCTCTCCAGCACATCCCATTTTTTGCCCAACACCTCTGCAGTTTTCAGGTGAGGCCAACCCCAAAAAAGCACTAACCACCAGCTAGTCATTGCCAACACGTGTCGAGTCCTCAAGCCAGCCGACTCCCTCTCAAATACTTATTCAGAGAACCCGCAAGAAGGCTCCAACCCTATTTTAAACTTGGGACCCCCGCGATCACGCCAACTCTTTGAATGCAGCTCTCCTTGGGGAGACGATACTTCGCAACCAGGAGATACCGTTTATTCTTGGCCGGCGCGCCCTTGGCAGCTGACTCGGCATTTTGATGCGGCCGTCACACTCCCCCAGAAGCCACATGACCATGAAGCGATAAGACCTACTGTGGTGTACCTACTATATACGATGTACGAATTGTGTGAACTCGTGTAGCTTTTGGGCGGATGGGCATTTCAACCGTCCAGTGCTCGAGAAGCTCCAGGCTTAATCGGGTCCAGGGCGTTTTCGATCTCAGCTCAAAGCGTACGCGTAGCAGTGTAGCACAGAGCGGCAGTAACCCTACCTAACTGAACTGCGAACTCTGTCTTGCAAGCCTGAACGCTTTAACGCTTGGACCCGAACAGGGACGTGCTTTGATCCCTTGGGAGCTTCAATCTGCAAGGAGGGTTGCCGGTTGTAATCGGTTCTTGGAAGATCCGCCCTGTTATGGAAGAGCTTGCACATGAAGGTCTCCAGAGCCAGTCTGCAGACTCTCTGACACGAAGATATATATGCATATATATATATATGTATATCTTAAGCAAGCACGTGCCAGCTGTTTCAAGCATTTATGTACAGTAACCAGGCGAGTGACTGGAGAGGGTCTATGTAGTTTGGCCACGGCTAACCTCATAACTCGTAACCCGTACACATGCTGCAGCCAGCTGCGGAAGTCATCAGAAACATAGCTAGGTGGTTCGTCAACGTATGGTCCCTTTTGGAGTCCTCTTTATAAGGCGGCCCCTAATTGTTGGGGGTGGCCAAAATGGGACCATCATTTTGAGAACTGACCATATTTTTGACTGTATATTATATATATATATACACTTATTACTTTTTTTCTACTTTCTTATTTATGTCTGATGTCCCCTCAGAGCCTTGTTTTGCTACGCCCACGGCTCTTCCAAGATGGAGCTTGCTTGAGATTTCTTGAGCAAGTTGCCATGCGCACAACCGCAGTCCAGCTCCAAAACGACACGGGCATCTGCACCGCATCGTTTCGCCCAATTTTGCTTGCAGAAGGCCACAGTGCATGTATTCTTGTGCCACGGCCTCATCCGTGGTCCCGAGCCTACTGTGATGCGTTTGTGACAGCGATATGTGCTCAAACAGCGCATATACCCCTTGTCATCCTGCAGACTGCAGAGAAAACCGCCACGGCAAGCTGCTGGGAGGCTCTGTAGCACATGATGATTGTCGGGTCTCAGACGGTCCTGCACCGATCAGTCCGCGCGCGGAGCGGCGTGAATCGGGGGCCTAGCAGTGTTTTCGGTGTTGACGCATGTGATCTTATTCAGTAGCTATGCCACCACTGTACCAGTGTGCCAGGCATCATGGGAATCACGTGTGTGGTGCAACAGCCTATTGATGTGCGAGCATTTGGCTTTCAGCTCTGTCAGCTTCCGTGCTCGCGTGCCGCTTCGCTACTTGCCTGCCATGACCTGGGTCTACAACTTCGGTGCTGGCAATGCGGATGGCAGGGCCGAGATGAAGAAACTTGGTCTGCAAGACTGAGACGTAAGAACCGGCAAGAGCATCACACACACATACAGTCACATACAGGGCCAGATGGCTCTCTGATGTGCGGAAGCTCTCCATGTCTGACCATGGTGAAGCTCCCATGATAGATGCACAACTTCGTCTGGCCGCTCCTTTCACTCCTGTCCCGTCAGGCCCCGATCGCTCTTGTCCATTGCTCCGCCCTGACCTTTCTGAGGAACCTTCTGGGCGGCAAGGGCGCCAATCTCGCCGAGGCCGTGCCGCAATCATTGTTGGCACCACGAGCAAGGAATCACTGTATCTACAGCGTGAGCCAGCGCGGATATTCCATAGCTTTTGATGAACCCTAGCACGCCAAACCAGCAGTCAGAAAGCAGCGACTGCCAAGCTTCTCTCCAAAAGCAGGCCCAGTGAGAATATTGACCACCTTACGGTAACCACGCGTCCCAAAACTGTCGCAGCCAGCCCCTGATGCGCCAGATGGCCTCCATTGGGCTTCCGGTTCCGCCTGGCTTCACCCTGACCACGGAGGCCGGCAAGGGAGGTTGGCTTCAGCTTGCATCTGAAGTGGGAGCGCTCTGTGCTCGTGTCGAAGGTCTGCACGCACTACTACCAGAATGGCTGTGCCTTGACTGTAAACTCATCGAGAAAGGCAGAAGCGATGGCGTTCAACGAAGCGGCGGGGAAGGGCAGGGTGCACATCGGGTTAGCATAGAGAAGACGAGAGACACTGAGCAGCGATCGAGGTCAGTATCCTGCACAACTCAAGGAGCAGGTGTCGAAGGCATTAGCTCTGGTTGAGACAAGGCCGGAAAAGGCTTGAGCATGCTCCAGCACTTCCCGATGGCCCTGCCAAAGCGAACGCGTGTGCACTCACGCGACCGCAGGACCGGGCGGAAATTCGGGGACGCCACGAATCCCTTGCTGGTTTCGGTCCGCTCGGGTGCTCGGGCCTCCATGCCTGGCATGATGGACACCGCGCCTTGGCGGCTTTGGGTTTTGGGCCAGCAGCGGAGCCACATGAGCCGTGTCCAGCAGCACTTCTCCAGGTGCTTAACCTCGGCCTGAACAACACGACTGCGGAGGCGGGGAAAAGTGGCTAGCGAGAAAGGCAGAACAAGGGAGCTTGGGGAGTTGAGTGCTGCCTGAATCGCCTCTCTGTGCTTCCTGCCTCCGCCTTCTTCGGGACTTTCGGAAACGGGGCTCAGCCTATTCCCGGAAGAGCGATGCAGGCGCTGGCCAAGCAGTCGGGAGACCGGCGCTTTGCATTCGACAGCTACCGGCGCTTCGTCCAGATGTACTCAGGAGGGCAGCGGCACTGCCGGTGTTTATGCCAGTGCTGATCAGTGCTGCATGTTTAAGAAATGAGCGTTCTGTTTCCTCTCAGCATGGGTCCCTGAGATGTGGTGCTGGGTATCGAGCTCGGCAATTTTGAGAAGCTACTGGAGAGGGCCAAGGCCAAGCGAGGCGTCGCTCGGAAGAACTCTGGCGAACACGCTTGCTAACACATTGGATTTGGGAGATGAGCTTGGACAGAACTGAGGTGAAGCAAGATCACGAGCTCCTGCCAGAAGACCTGGAGCAGTTGGTGAAAGACTACAAGGCCTTGTGCGCGGGCTGTGCTGTGTGACTCGAAGCCTCTTGGATGAAGCAGTGATCATGTAAGGCCTGTGTCTACTTGGAGCTCGGGGAGGAGTTCCCCGAGGAGAGAGCGGATAGCTGGCCTTCAACACGACGATTGCAGCAAGTTGGCATGCCAAGTCCGATGAAACAGACGTCCATTAGGTCCGCTTGCAACACACGGAGGATCGCGGAATGCTTGCGAGAGTTTGACCGGCTAGGAGCCGCATCAGCAACTCTGGGGTGCCGTGGGTGCCGTCTTTGGTTCCTGGATGAACCAGAGGGCCAAGACCTACCGGAAGCTGCACGACATCCCCGAGGACCCCTTGAGAGGTTTGCGCTTCTTTCGCAGCCCCCGCGCCCTGCCAGATTGCTGTCAGGAGTGGGGCACGGCTGTGAACGTTCAGGCCCGTCCTTCTCACTTGAGAGGTCGCATCATTCTGGGGCCGTTCAGGCGATGGTCTTTGGCAACATGGGCAACGACTGCGCCACGGGAGTCGCCTTCACGCGCAACCCCTCCAACGGTGCCAAGGTCTTTCGGGGTTGGTACAGTCTCGTCGTGATCTGCCGAGCTTCTGAAATCCTGTCCAGCTAGTGAAGCATGTGAAGCCGTGTGTCTCTTAAAGCCTGCTATAACTGTTATAAGCATCGCCATGGAGGATTTCTATGGAGAGTTCCTGGTGAATGCCCAGGGCGAGGCCCGGGTCCTCCTCCCATGCGCCTTTCCATGCCTGCAATGCCTTCCCCTTCCCGTGCCTTCCCCCGTGAGACTATGTGAGACTGTGCTGTGAGAGGATGTCGTGGCGGGCATCCGGACGCCCCAGGAGCTGACGATCAAGGCTCGCAAGTCGCACGGCAGCGACTTGCCATCGCTGGAGGAGGTGATGCCGAGCATTTTCCAAGAGTTGGAGACAGTTCGCCACCAGCTGGAGAACCATTACACGGACATGCAGGACATCGAGCTTCTCGGCTCTTAGCAAGTTTTTAAAGTTGAGCGAAGGTGGAGGGTCTGCTTTGCATAGTGGTAAGCTGGACGCACATTGCTGCAGCTGAGGTTCACCATCCAGCAAGGCAGGATCCCGAGCTGTTTCCGGTTTCCCGCAAAGTTGAAAACCTGACATTCGCGAGGCAAGCTGTACATGCTCCAGACCCGCACGGGCAAGCGGACGGCCCACGCAGCCTTGCAGATTGCGGTGGACATGGCCTCCGAAGGGCTGATCAGCAAATCGCAGGCTCTCATGCGCCTGAAGCCCGATCTGATCGACCAGCTTCTTCACCCCACGCTGGACCCCAAGGCACTGTGCATTGATGGATGCCCCAAAGCATCCCAAAGGGCCGGAACATCTAGGCGAAGACCTGACACAATCGTGGGACTCAGGACGCGAAGCCCTCAACCGCCTAGACTAAACCCCTAACCACCCAGAAACCAGAACCATCGGCAGCGTGGCACTTCAACCAAGCAAACAGAAGAGCTGGACCCCGAGGCCAAGAAGACGGTCATTGCCAAGGGCCTGCCAGCCTCGCCAGGGGCGGCTGCCGGCAAGGTGGTTTTCACGGCCGACGAGGCTGTGACTCGCTCGGAGAACGGAGAGAAGGTGATCTTGGTGCGAGTCGAAACTAGCCCAGACGACATCCATGGACTGCATGCGGCAGAGGGCGTTTTGACTTCTGGCCTGCATCAGACATGACCTTCTCTCTTGATGGCTGAAGATCTCTGAGAGCTAGATAGAAGGTGGAATCTGCAAAGGAAGCGGTTTAAAAGCTTGCACCGCCAAACGTGATTGCACAATGATGTTCCAACAGCTAGAGGACAACTCGCGGCGGCATGACCAGCCACGCAGCCGTGGTGGCGCGCGGCATGGGCAGACCTTGCGTGGCAGGCGCTGGGGAGGTGAAGGTCAACTACGCCTCGGCCTCCTTCGAGGTGGGCGACGTGGTCGTCAAGGAGGGCCAGCTGGTCACCATTGACGGCGTCACGGGAGAGGTGATGCTTGGAGAGGTCCCCACGGTGCCGCCGCAGCTTTCCGGCTCCTTCGGCACCATCATGGCCTGGGCAGACGAGTTCCGCACAATGCAGGTCAGGGCCAATGCCGAAACGCCGACAGACGCGCGGCAGGCCGAGGGGATCTGAGGGCGAAAAGCTTCCGTCTTCCCGTGCCATCCCTCATCCTTGTTTTTGGGACTCGAAAATCTATAGGCCCATAGGCACCTTGGCGGCAGTTCCCTGCTGTTCCCTGCAACGCGAATCAAACACGAGGCCAAGGAGTTCGGGTGCGAAGGGATTGGCCTGGTGCGCACGGAGCACATGTTCTTCGAGGGGGGCCGGATCGTGGCACCTGGGCTGCCAGTTCCGTCGTGCTGCACTCGCTGCTTGTAGACTCGTAGAATGCTGGCTAAGGCCATGCGGCAGATGATCTTGGCCGCGGATAAGGCGGAGCGACAGTCGGCCTTGAACAAGCTCCTGGCGATGCAGCGCGAAGACATCACCGAGCTCTTCAAGATTATGGACGGCCTTCCAGTGACAGTCCGTTTGCTGGACCCTCCCTTGCATGAGCTCCTCAGTCTTCAGTGCTCGACCTATCCACATTCACCCCTGGGCACAAGAACTGTATACGCAACTGTATGCGTGCACGCCCGTGTTTGAAAGCCTCGACAGTCTTGCAAAAGGTTTCCATATACGATGGCGGGGGCCACCCTTTGGCGTGATTCGCAAGTTACGCCCTCACTGAAGTGAGCTAAGGTTCATCCCGCACACCGAAGCCGAGATGGGCCTTGTGGCAAAAGCAGCCGGAGTGCCTTTGGATCGCGTGCGCCGGCGCGCGAGCGAGCTGCAAGAGGCCAACCCCATGCTCGGGCACAGAGGTTGCCGCCTGGCCATCACTTATCCGGAGATCTGCGAAATGCAAGCTCGGGCCATCTTCGAGGCGGCCGCGGAGGTCGGGCGCAGCGCCAAGAAGACCCCGGTGGCCGAGGTCATGGTGCCCCTGGTTTCGACTCTGGAGGAGCTGGTGCAACTGAAGAAGGTCATCGAAGACACGGCCAAGCAGGTGCAGAAGGAGCAGGGCGTGAACTTCAGGTATCACGTCGGCACCATGGTGGAGCTGCCCCGCGCAGCACTGCAGGCTGGTAAATTGGCAGAGCAAGCGGAGTTCTTCAGCTTTGGCACCAATGATCTGACCCAGACTACGTACGGCTTGAGTCGTGATGATGCCGGGTCCTTCTTGCCTGAGTACAAAGCGAAAGGTGGGACATGATCAACAAAATGCACTTTCCTTTGTGTTTAGAGTTGCAGAGGGCACTAATTTCAGATTATAGCACCGGGCAGTGGCCCGAGAAGGAAGAGACGATACGGTTGTTGGAAATGTCATATTTAAATGCTTTCCCAGGCATCGTGGAAACGGACCCTTTCGTGAGCCTGGACCAGGAGGGCGTTGGCGAGCTGATCAAGATTGCAGTGGAGCGGGGCCGCGGAAAGCGCGCTGGCATGAAGATGGGCATCTGCGGCGAGCACGGCGGTGACCCAGCTTCCATTGAGTTCTGCGAGAAGACGGGCTTGGACTACGTCTCTTGCTCGCCCTTCCGTGTGCCCATTGCCCGCCTCGCTGCCGCACAGGCTGCCTTGAAATCTCAGGGCGAGAAGGCTCTCCAAGCTTCCACGAAGGCTGCCAAGCCCAGGCAGCAACAGTTTGGCCCCTGGTGAGCTTTGATGAGGCCTCTCCACCTTCACGCCACTTAAATGGCATTTTATCCTTTGAAGATTGTATATGGCATCTTTTGAATGCTCTGCACCTTCCGACAGGTGCAATATGCATGGGATTCACGATGGTCAGTTTCGATTGCAGTACATATCTGCAAGGCAGCTGGCTTCTAAGTACACTTTTAATTCCTGACGCCCTCCTTGGCTGGAGCTGATGACAATCCATCCGGCTTGGGAGCCGCCCTGTGCGTCGTAGCCATGGAAGCTGCCCGAAATCTGTGCAGGAAGTGGCAGCAGCTTGGCGTTTAAGTCTTTGAAATCGACTCGACAGACGGTGCAACGTGCCCAAAAAAGTCCGACTATTACGGACTTCATATCGTTCA